AAGAGTGCCGTTTTTCTCCAAAAATTACCATGATTACAAATGTGACATTGAATTCAATAAACAATAAGTTAATTAAGAGCCTTACGTTTTAGACACCATATTGCTTGTTTTTGCTCTATTTCGCCAACAAATATCATTCCGAATACAGCCACAGTGCTGTTTTGTGTCTGAGCAACATGACGGTGTTTCGTTCTTGAATGAATCAACCGTTTAAATGATTAAGTTCAATCGCAATGACTTACTTATTAACAGTGATTTGCTGCCACCTGTTGGCGGTTTTAATTTCAAATTTCGGCTTTTTCTTTTTTTTCTTTTTCTTTTTTTTCATGTTTTAAATCATTTCAAATGTCAGCATTCAACGTTTTATGTTTAATATATCAAAACATTTTTTATGCATTTGTAATTGCAGGTTAAATGCCTTCATGTCTTGCATTAAACAAAATACATGTGTGTAAATACATCTAAATGCCACTTCAGATGCAGCTTCTGTGTTGATTTAATTTGCTTGGTAACAGCCCAAATGTCTTATTATTCTAATTCCCTGATTAAATGTAAGAATTTGACTCAAAAGATAATGGACACTTTTAGAAAAAATGGCTTTATAAAGGTAAAAATGCCCATAAAATGCAAAAATCAGTTTAAACTTATTGGAAAAGATTAATTTCTATCAGTATGAACTGACCGCCACTCAGCATATGAAGAATATTAAAAACATTAGGAGTCAGCTGTCTTCGGCAGTCCTTAAGGTACCAGCACAATAACACACTCAGCAAAATATCGTCTAATTATCATTATCGATAAAATCCCATAAAATATCGAGATATAATTTTTTGTCAATATCGCACACCCCTAATTGATATGGTACTTTTTCAATTCAATTTTTTAAATGCTATCCTTTCCACCAGAAAATAGTTCCTTACAGCAACAGTACATGCCAAGTGAATGGTCCTAGGTGTAACATGGCCCATCTTATGGAGCTCAAATAAAAACAAAAAATAGGAAATGTTCTCATCCACGGTGTTATTTATTTATTTATTGACACCATATATGATATTTTCCCACACACATACATCTACTCATCTCTCAGCAATGTCTGTTTTCTTAAGAAAACATCTGTTCTCCGTCTTTTAGTTTAAAACTAAACATTTTGCAACACAGCACAAGTTTGCAAGCATCATTACAGTGTGAATTGATGGGCATGCAGTACCATACCTGAAATGGAAAACTAATAAATACAGAAATATTCCCTCTACAATAATACTTCAGGTGTGTAATACAGGGAACATTTTTGACACTGTATTAATTGTTTATTTTGCTATGGGTGTTGCACAGAGATACACAGAACCGTTGGGAGAAATGTACTTTATCATGAATAAAACTAACTGTATAGGGAACAAAATGTCCCTGATGTCTCTACCTTAAGTGATTCCAAAAACACATTAAAGTATAATCAGATCTGTATTATACACTCATGTACTGAAATTTCATGATGCCACACACGCAGAAAGTCTAAAACTTCCCCCCAATCTTGTGCCCTCAATCCATAGAGGCTTCTCATTTCCATATTATCTGCATATTTCTGAGAGAAGTGGCCTAATTAATCATGTGGCCATTTTGTGTCTCATTAGTGCTGTCTGCTTGGATCCCCTAGCCAAGACACACCACTGCTCTGTCTCATTAGACAGTCCATCATTCTTTCTGACCTTCTATTCTGAACACAGAGAGCTTTCTCTGGACTCACTGCTTTTTATTTTTTTGAATCAGTTTTGATTTATAATAAAGGCCTGTCATGTCAAGTTTTCAAGAGCTTAAGTAAGATAGCTAAGGATGCTGTTGTGCTATGGGTGAATTGTGCTGTAAGTGGAAAAAGAGGAAATTCAGAATATACAGTCAGTTTAAGTTTATGTAGTTTATGTATATCATTTAATGTTTTAAAATAAAAGTCAAGTCACCTTAATTTATATAGTGCTTTATACAATACAGATTGTTATTCAAAGTATGATAGGAAATTTCGGAAAGGCTAGCAAAAGTAAGCTAGCTTTGAAAGCGTAAGATCCCACCCTCCCTACAAATCACTCCCATCCAAAGCCACGTCTCTCCAAAACACATAATTTCTACACAAACAGGGGCGCGGAGGTATGCAGATACGTATGTTGACAGGCAGGTAGGACAGCATATAGCCCCCGGACCGAGGGATATGATTGGACAAACATTTTATGGCCCTACGCCTTCCACAGATGATATAAAAACATTAAAGGGATACTCCACCCCAAAATGAAAATGTTGTCATTAATCACTTACCCCCATGTAGTTCCAAACCCGTAAAAGCTTCGTTCGTCTTCAGAACACAATTTAAGATATTTTGGATGAAAACCGGGAGGCTTGTGACTGTCCTATTGACTGCCAAGTAAATTTCACTGTCAAGGTCCAGAAAAGTATGAAAGGCATCACCAAAATAGTATGAAAGGCATCGCCAAAATAGTATCCCCTTACACAGAAGAGCGTACACTGCTTGCGTTCAGTGGTTATTCTCCAAAATGGCGCTACGGTGATGCGGAGAGACACAGAGGAGACGAATTGTTGAATAAAGTCGTTATTTTTGTTTTCTTCACATACAAAAAGTATTCTCGTTGCTTCATAACGTTACGGTTGAACCACTGATGGCAGATGGACTATTTTGACAATGTCTTTCATACTTTTCTGGACCTTGACAGTGTAATTTACTTGGCAGTCAATGGGACAGTCACAAGCCTCCCGGTTTTCATCCAAAATATCTTATATTGTGTTCCGAAGACGAACAAAGCTTTTAGGGGTTTGGAACGACATGGAGGTAAGTGATTGACAAAATTTTGAAAAAATTCAATGTTCTTCTAATTTTATTCTCTGATATCCTCATCTCTTGCAGAGGAATCGAATGGGTCAGTCTGACTAGTTTTCTCTCCTTCGCCACCTCTGTTCCCAACAACCTTGGACTTGTGAGGAATGAACTGCAACATGTGGACTTACGCACAGGTAAAGCACACACAGACACATATTACACACTGGTATTGTTATGTTGATTGAAAAAATTACTTTGTTCATTTTCAGTGGAATTTCATTATTCAAACATCGCTGCTGCAATTGTTAATGCTCAAGTTTAGCAAACCCATTCACACCCAGAATGCTTACAACAACAATAACTATATTTCTGTCATGACAACTCTCGGAAAGATTGGCATGGTATGGACATGACAAAGTCAATGTATTTGGTCTTGGCGGAATAGATATACAACACTGCTGCTGCTGCCAATACATCTACAGAAATGCTGCTCTTTTCTTTGCGCACAAAATGTATTCTTGTAGCTTCGCAAAATTACTGTTGAGCCCCTGATGTCACATGGACTATTTTACCGATGTCCTTGCTACGTTTCTGTGCCTTGATTGTGGTAATTTGTGTTCCAAAGATGAACTAAGGTCTTACAGGTTTAGAACGACATGAGGGTTAGTAATTAATGACAGAATTTTCATTGTTGGGTGATCTATCCTTTTAAGGATTCATCTACATTTAATTTAGAATTTAGTATTTGGTAACTTTATTCTATGTCTGTATATTTCCTACTTGCTGAAGGGCACAGGTAAATATAACAATTATTATAATGGGTGTATGTGAAGCAGTGGTCTTCACTATTTTTTATTTTTTTATAGGAGCCACACTGATAGGGCAAAGTCAACCGGAGAGCCACTTTTACCGCGAAGTATCAAAAGTTACATCCAGTCTTAAATAGCATGTCTTTTTATCAATCTGTCGTATGCAATGCAATACAAAAGGGGCTATAATTTTTTATCTTTTACCAGTCAAATTTGTAACTGAGACAAGATTATTAAAAAAAAAAGCAGGATTACCTTAATGCTGGAAAGACCTTAAGTTATTTTATTTTTTTATACTAGCCCATCATGTATCTAACCATCCAAGTGCACATTTGGCGTTAAGAGCTGTTAAGATTAAAACTGGCTACTCCGCACTGAGTCTGTGTCATGGATGTAGGACAGAGCAAGTGTAAATATCTTTTTTTTAGTCTATATTTCCATCTTGTAATGCCGCTGTTTTAGTTTTTTTTTTATATATATATATATATATATATATATATATATATATATATATATATATATTTTTTTTTATATTGTCGTGCCGCGCCCTGCTGCGCTAAAAGTCTGTCTACACTTGACGAGACAAAGCGACAGTTGCAAATCATTTGAACGTAGTGTCAGTACAGTTCGTCATAAATAGAACGAGGCATCAGTTTACTGATGGGGATCGTGTTGCTTCGCATGGCGTCGCGCCGCATCCAGTGTAGACAACATCACTGGGTTCTATTGTCTTTTGTCAGATCGCGCCACTCGCGTCCGGTGTAGACATGGTGTGAGTTTTTTTTTTAATGGGTTATGTTATAGCCCTGCTTGTTTTTAATGTTTTTATGAAATATCTGTATTGACTGCATGATCATATTATCGTATTATTTACTGCCATGTGGGCCACAAAGTAAAGCTTGGCGAGCCACATGAGTAGCACTGATGTGAAGATTGTTTTAAATTCACTTAAATTAGAAGTTGTTATTAGTCTAATAAATGATAGCTCTCAATTATACTGTAATGTTGAATGGCTATAGTCAATGGGTAAATATAAAAGAAATTTTTTACAATGATAATGAACGTTAATGATACAATGACCTTCAGTAATAATAAAAAAGATTCCATTAAACAAATATTAAAATATGCTGTATTTATATTGTTTCTACATTTGTGTGTGTATATATATATATATATATATATTTAGGGCTGCAACTAACAATTATTTTGATAATCGATTAGTTGGCTGATTATTTTTTCGATTAATCGCATAAAAAAATCTTTATTTAAATTTTATTGACAAAAACACACTATTCCACATTCTGCTCAATGTCCTTCAAACAAATGTTCCAACTGAATGCTATGAAAACATTCAGTGCTTAACAATTTATTAGACCACCTGTCATAATAGAGATAACACAAATATTTTAGGAATCTGTCAAAAAATTGTTTAAATCTAAAAATTTTATTGTCATTTATTGAGCAAATAACAAACCGAAACAACTAAATAGTATTTATTCACATAATAACAAAAATGGCATCTTTTGCCTTTGATAACAGCTTGCATGCTTGCTGGCATTGTTTATGGACTTTTTGACTAATTTGGTATCTGAATAAAAAACACTATAAAGCACTTGACAATTTTTTCTGCCTTTCTTTCATAGATAACAGCAATAATTATATTAAAGCATTAGAAATAGCCTACTACTGTTACTAAAGAGCTTACGCATATTGAAGGGCTAACTAATACAGAAAGCTAAAAAATAATTTTGGTAATTACCAATACTGTTAGTTAAGAGCAGCAGTGGCACAAACCTTGCATACATTTGTTAATTACTGTATAAGTATCACTGTATCACCAGTCATAAGGGTAATGCTGAATAAATAAGCTTTCCATTGATGTATGGTTTGTTATGCTAGGACAATATTTGGGCGAGATACAACTATTTGAATATCTGGAATCTGAGGGTGCAAAAAAATCTAAATAGTGAGAAAATCGTCTTTAAAGTTGTCCAAATTAAGTTCTTAGCAATGCATATTACTAATCAAAAATTAAGTTTTGATATATTTACAGTAGGAAATTTACCAAATATCTTCATAGAACATGATCTTTACTTAATATCCTAATGATTTTTGGCATAAAATAAAAATCGATCATTTTGACCCATACAATGCATTTTTGGTTGTTGCTAAAAATATACCCAAGCGACTTAAGACTGGTTTTGTGGTCCAGGGTCACATATAGTGAATAGGCCTATAGTTTAAATCTCTAGATCAAAAATTCTAATAATAAAGATAGTAAAGCCGAATAAAATCACAGTAATGTTCTGCAGGAACACGCGTCGCGTGCACTTTGATCACAGTCAGTCTCCTCTTACTGTAATTTATTTATCCTGTAAAAGCGTCTGACATTTATATTCAGACAATTACATGCTGCTGTCCCTTCACAGATCCTACTCTCATAAATTACTCGCACTACATGTTGACTTTTAAACCTAAATGTAAGCTGTTCAACAACAGATATTTCAGCACAGTGAATGTTTTTGCGCTGAATATTGTCTCCCTCTCTACTGTGTTTCGTCTGTTTAACGCGCGTGCCCGCTGCACCGGCGCTCTTTCAGTAAAGATTTAAACTTAACGCAGACTGTCAGGGTGGACCTTTCTGCAAAAATTGAAATGCTCGCGTGAATTTGTGACATTTACAGATAAGGATATAGTTTTTTGCCCTGAGGACGCACACACATATCTGTCAAAGTGTAAGCCATTATGCTAATGCATCAGCTTGAAGCTTAAAATAAAGATTTCTCATGTTTTGGGCAGCTTGGATCACGTACTTTTCCTGCTGGAGCTTATCAGTGTTGCCAACTTCTTTCAATAGAAAGTAGCTAAAGCCAGTTTGAAAAGTCGCTAAATGTCGCCAGATGACGTCATACACTAATTAGCATATTCATGACGTCAGCACGTCTGTTGCCTTTTACATTTGTTTGTCTCTCTGTGCTCACGTACTGTATTTTAATGCAGCCAAATTCTCAATAAAACTGTTTTCATTTATATATATATTACTGTTTCTGTTGTCAGACAACAGAATAAATATGAAATAGTGACTGAAATGTGGCCCTTTAAGACTACATGACCAGATCTCCCTTCCAAGACGTTAATCTGCACAAAAAAATCCTGCTTTATATTTGAGCCATCGTCTGATGAAATGAAACGCACATAAGAAAAGACAAGACAAAGACAATTCCTGTGCTGTGATTTCGGCTATATTTGCATGTAAAATTAGAGAAGCAACATAATATCTATTTTAACTGAAGGCGCTGCTCCTATCAGCTGCTTGCTGTACAGAGCAGACGCAGAGCGAGAGGTGTGTGCGCGCTGACCTCGCGCCGTTGCGTCAGAACCAGTGATCACAGAGACTCACTAAGGTTTGTCCAAGAAGTCGCTAGATTTGTCGCTAGTCGCTTTTTTGGAAAAAAGTCACGGGGGGGGGTCTGAAAATTGGTTAAATCTAGCAACAAAGTCGCTAAGTTGGCAACACTGGAGCTTATTCTGTTTCCTCCACTATTTTTAGATGCATTTTGTCCATAGAAATGCGTTATTCAGTGCTATAATTTGATGCGACTGGCTAAAGTTGTACGTGCACTGTGGGCAGACCCGACTAATCAATAATGAGAATCGTTGTCGATGATTTTCATTATCGATAATAATCGATGTTATCGATTAGTTGTTGCAGCCCTATATATATTACATACATTATCTCACAATATGTATATATGAGCTGTTGACTCGCAAAGAAAGGGTTTGAGTTGTAATGAAATTACTCATTTGTAATTGTAGGGAATTAATTATTATTAATTCATTCAGGTTTTGAAAGGACTCGAATCTGAAAAGTCGAGGTCCACCTGATTAAACTGAATTTTAATTTAAATGGTTTACACCCTATCAGCTACTCGGCCAGCGAGAAGATGTCAGTGTATATTATCAATTGAATATGTATTTTATGTTCTCCCTGGCCATGGGTTAACACAATTATGATAATTTGTCAGCTCTTAGAGAGGTAACGTTGATCTTGGCAAAGTTTTAACCTTGAAATTATATGACACCAGACGATGATCATTTATAAATGAAACATGAATTTTATTGGCTATTCTAGATTACATAAAACCTAGATTAAAACACACATACACACACATACAGTTTCAGATGACAGAAATGAGAGTTGACGGAGTTCTATGAAGCTTTCAAGTTCTAACTCGTTTTACGAGTGATTTAAATTCCCCTTAGAGAATTTACCAAGCAGATAATTTTGGCTTAATTTTACTGCTTAAATTAGCTCAACACCAGTTCAGCAGATTTGAAGAGTTTGTTCGTTACTTGCGTTCTTTTGGTTGACAGCTGAAAAGCTG